TCTTTCCACCCATCTACCTATCCATCCATCTATATATCTATTCCTATGCCTAGCCATCCATCAACCTATCCATCCATCTATCTATCCATCCATCCATCAACCTAACCATCCATCTATCTATCCATCCATCCATAACTCATTCATCTATCATTCCATTAATAATTCATTCTTTTATCCAGTTTTCTTCTTGTTATAACTTTCAAATGTTGAAATTCAGTATCCAAATAGAATTTGAATACTGAATCCGCACAGAAGAAAATAAACGATTGGTAAAGCAACTTTTACTAGGCGAAGTTATTAAATTCGCCAATTATCATCTCTAAATACTATTAATTGCGGATCTAGACAACTTTGACGGGGGTTGATCAAAATTTAATAAAATTTAACATTGTTTAAATTTTGAAATTTTGTCAAGTGGGCAAAAAACTACCAAAATTTGTGGTAGTGTGGCCAAAACTCCGAAATAATTACACTGGCGACCATTTTTTTGTTTATCACGTCAAATTTTGGTCAATTTTGTTTGTTGAGTTTTACTGACTTTTAATAAAATACAGCTCACATGGCCCTCTTAAATTTACAACTGAATACTGTCTAAATACGGCTGCTTAATTGGTTATTTTAAGTACCTCTTTAATAGTGGGGCAGATGATTAAATACTATTCAAGTATTTGAATACTCTAATTACTTAGCAACACAGCTTCTATATCCCCTGCAACCATTAATTCATACATCCATCTTTCAATCAGTAACTCATATTTTAACATTCATTCACTAACCTATCTTCCAATCATTCATTCATTCGTCATCCCATCTTCCAATCATTCATTCGTCAACCTATCTTCCAATCATTCATTCTCATTAATTTTATTCCGCACTGCAAGTAGATTTAGTTCGTTTTTAATAAGTGGTCTATCATTTGAATGAATGAACGAGCTATAATGCATAATGACCTGATTCAATAAAATGACAACATATTCAGCGATATATTTATGTGAAAATTAACTTTCACGTACATACGTACATACACATATTTACATGCTGCACACACACTCTCTCACAAACACCCACACACACACACACACATACACACATTACATGCTGCACACACACACACGCACACACACACACACACGCACACACATGCATCGATACGAATAATTGAATATTTTGTATGCACGAGCGTATAGTTATGAATTTATTAACATTGATACATGCACACAATGTAAACTGTTTGTATAAATTTTCATTTGAAAATCATCGGGGCACATGTTCGCCACATTATACCCTAAGGTGGTATAATTAAATGGATTTATGAAGCGCTTGAGTGTGTAGAAAATTAATTTGATGAACGCAGTCTGCATGCGTGCTACTGATCGGTCGCCATAACAACAATTGATGCAACTAATACATGCGCTTGCTAAGTCACGTCATCAGGTCCTGTTGTTGTTGTTGTTGCTTTTTTGTTGTTGTTGTTGTTACTTCTGCTTTTGTTGTTGATGTTGTTTATGTTGTTGTTGTTATTATTATTGTTGTTGCATTTGTTCTTGATGATGATGTTATTGTTGATTCTGCTATTGTTGTTGTTGATGTTGTCGTTGTTGTTGCTGATGTTGTCGTTGTTGTTGTTGATGTTGTCGTTGTTGTTGTTGCTAATAGTTGTTATGTATATTCTATTCATATGTTGCGCTGATGATGATGCTTTTAATGTTGCTATTGCGACTATTAGAAAAACAACAAAAAAATAAAGTTCAGTTAAGCTCGCAATGATGATGACGACGATGAAGACGATGACGATGATTTTGAAGATGAAGACGATGATAAAGATGAAGATGGGAGGCTGGCGATGACGACGATGATGAAATAATTAAAATAATTATTGATTTGATTCTTAGGACGATATGAGGAAGGGTTTGCGATTTTTTTTACTCTAACCAATGTTGGAATCATTTCACCAATGACAAACGGTACAACAATGATGAGGTCATCAGCCAAAAATGTTAGCCCGCTAATGTGTGCATTTTGAAACATTTTAAAATTTTAGGCTCCACCGCTAAAGTTGTCCAGGTTTGCCACTGGATGACGATGATTTATATGATGATGATTTTTATGATGAAGATGATGATGAGGAGAAAATTGATGATGAGGAGGATGAAGAAGAAGAAGATGATGATGATGATTGTAATGATGATGGCGGTGGTTGTGACAACAATGATGATGAAGATTATGATTGAAGTTTCCTTGTAAAAGTATCACGATAATTAGGACGATGATGTTGATAATAATAATTTAAATAACAATAATACTAAGAATATTTATTGTGATGACAAAACTTGTGCCGATGACGATGATAATGACGATGATGACGACAACGACAATGGCGGTTATGATCGCAACGACAGCAACAACTATGATGATGATGATGGTGATGATGAGAGTGGTTATGTGATATTGTTCGGCCACACACGTCTGTCAATCACGCCATCTCGTCTAATTCTGTTATAACCCGAGAGATGTATGCTTATGTTAATACGTTACGTATATATATATATATATATATATATATATATATATATATATATATATATATATATATATATGAAAATCACAGCATGTTCAGTTGCACTGGAGATGGAGATAATTTGTGAAAAAACGAAATAAGGCCTTATCATCTGGATAAAAACAGTTTGAATACATTTTCGTGATGAACTTGGAAAACAATTCTATTTTCCATAAATTTAACAATTTACAGATTATTCTAGTAAGAAAAATTGAAAAGACAAACTTTAAATTGATTAATGCCAACAATTTGTTAGAATTCATACAATACTGTCTATGTTTGTGTGTGTATATATATATATATATATTTATATATATATACATATATGTATATATGTGTGTGTGTGTGTGTGTGTGTTTGTGTGTGTCTACTACACATGGTGTTCACACGTATGCCTACACTGGTGTTTATTGCCCCGGAATATATTTATGCCCACTGTCTTCAAATGTAAATGAAATTATAAATATAATGCATCGTCTTTGTCGTCGTCAGCATCGTCGTCGTCATCATCATCATCGAATATCATCATCTCCATCATCACCCTTACCTCTATCATCACCGTTGCCGACCTCCCAACCATCACCAAAGTAACAATCATCACAGCATTATTGTCGTCATCGTCAAACTCATCATCATCATCATCGTATAAAATTTTAAAATCAGTGCAAATTTTAGAAGGCGATCAACTTTGTCTGGCTCACTTGAAAAAAATGAAATAGAGTTTGATTACGAAACAAATGGAAATAAATTTATTTATTTTTTGAGCGCGTGAATTATTGATTGGTTGATTGGTTGCGGAGACAGAGAAAGAGAGAGAGAGAGAGAGAAAGCGAGAGAGAGAGAGAAAGAAAGAGAAGAGAGAGAGAGAGAGAGAGAGAGAGTTAACATTTTGAATAATAACTTAGCAAACTTTGGTTTCAGATATTTCAGATACTCGACCAGCATGATAATTTACATTCCAGTTTTGTAGTAAACAAGTAGTAAATACTCAACGCATTGCCGCGTATCATTCATTTTATGCTTTCAATATGTTCTAATCCCTATTTTCCTCAATGCATTGCGCACACACGCGCACGCGCACACGCACACACATATATATAAATATAGCTTTTCTGTAGTAATAACGTTATTAATAATGATTTGTCAAAAATGTCAAATATTAAAAGTTTTTTATTTACTTCATCAAGATGATAAAAGTCTCGTTAGAAAAATTGAGAAACTCAACTGCAAGTCGAATAATGTCGAAAACGCAGTGATCTTCATAAATAATTGTATTATTTATGATAGTCTAAACCCAAAATTTCTATCAGGGGCATGGGTTAAATGCGCCGTCAATGATGAAAGTGACCTTAACTCTAATCTCAATAATGAACTTAGAGAAAAAAAGAAATTAATATATAATAATAATAAACCATTAAACGCATGATAAATACAATATACATAGTTTGTGGTTATTATTAATTTACAACAGCTATGTCTTTCTTCATTACCCTATGTTTATTTCGAAACGGTGGGTTCATTCATTCATTCGTTAATGTGAACCTTGTATTTGTATTTTTAATACGTTTTCATTCAATTCACTGGTACGCGACTGGTTCGATATTTAACTGATATATATATATATATTGATATATATATATATATACAACAAAGATGAAGAATACGACACCAACTATATATATATACATTATATTTATATATGCATTATATATATATATACATTGTATATATATATACATTACATATATATATATATACATTACATATATATATATATATATATATATATATAGATATGCAAACATATGTAGGGATAATTCATTTATTTGCTTAAAACCCACTATTTTGCATACAAGATGCGTTATTGGAATGCGAAAATACTTGTCGATCGGTGTGTATGTGTGTGTGTGTATCTGCATTTGTATTGGTATATATGTTTGTATATGTTCATATGTTTGTATTTATGTATGTTTGTATCAATATCTGTATTTGTATATATGTTTTGTTTTGCATGTTTGTTTATATGAATATGTGTGTGTGTGTGTGTCTGTGTGTGTACGTTACAATTTACGTTCTGAACGTTATAAAGCGTCTGTTTATTTGTAGACTCGAAAAAAAGAAAATTGAAGATCACGTCTTCACCGCAAATAAACTCCATCTATCTATCCACCAATCCATCTTTCCATCCATTTATCCGACCTTCTGTCTATCCATCCATCTTTCCATCTATCCATCCATATCGCTTTAAATACGAGATAAATCTAAGTTGCGTTTGTATGCTTGTTTGTTCGATTTTTGTTTATTCGTTTGTGTTTATTATTTATTTACACTTGCTGTGTCTTTGTTCATTACTCTATGTTTATTTTTAAACAGGATATTCATCTATGCGTTAATATAAACCTTCTATTTGTATTTTTAATACATCGTCATTCAATTCAGTGGTTCATTTGACTGTTTCGATACTCGACTGATTCGATATTCGACTGATTCGATATTCGACTGATTCGATATTCGAAGAATTTGATATTTGGCTGAATCGGCATTCGACTACTTCTTTATTTGACCAAACCGGATTATGATCTGTTAAAACGGAAGAAAGTGTGCCTGGAGTATGATTGTTGTTTGAAGCGGAAGGCAACTGCACATCCATGTGATTCTTGCGTATTTCCACCGCGCAAGTAATCTGAGAAAAGAGCAGGACATTTTTATGACAGATTTTTAATAAATGTTGAAATTAACAGAAAGGAAACGTCAAATTGAGAGATGGAGAAATTGCAAAATGTTAGGTTTTGTTTGGAAAAGGATTCTAAATTTTCTATCATTTTTTACAGAACCAAAAAAATATTTTTGGCTAATTTTTATAATAATTTTGAAATATTTTTTATTGTAGTTCTTATTTTGTTATATTAAATTAAGTTATAATTTGAGTTTAAATTTGCATGTTTCAAAGAACTCTTTTTTATTTACGTTTTTTTGTTTGCAGGGAAGTAGTCATTGCAGATGAGAACCCAAATATAAACTTATAATTTTGATAATAATTACCATCATTCATTCATTCATTCATTCATTCATTCATTCATTCATGCGCTGCAATTAATTCATGTCAATCAATCATTTAGTCAACGTAAACATTAAAATAAAATTATGAGCTGATTAATAAAAAAATTATCTTTTTTCTAACTGTATGTGATCATAGTTGTATTTTATTCATTCGTTTTTTGTTCATTCGTTTTTTGTTTGTTCTTTCGCTCATTCATATAATTATTCGTTTTTTCATTTGTTCCTTCCTTCATTCATTCATTCATTCATCCACCCAGCCATCCGCATGTAATAACAATTAGCACAGCATCCTTTGACAAACACACCTCAAAAGGATAAACAATTTTTTCCCGCCTTTTCACTGATTTTTTACCGCGCGCCAAATTTATTTTCTATTTAGAATTAATTAATTTATATATTTATCCAGCTATATTTTTGTCATTATTAAAATAGATGCTAATTTGATTTGATTTATTTATTTGTTTTTTGGGTTATTTTCAAATATTGAATAATTTATTTCAATCATTATTCAATCATTCATGCATTCTCTAACCTTCCATCTATCAATTTATTCTTTCATCTATTCTTCCATACATCAGATCATTCCTTTATAATCTCATCTATCTTTTCAGACATCATATCATTCATTCATCCACCCGTATATCATATCAATCATTCATCCATCCATATATCTATCTATCTATCTATCTATCTATCTATCTATCTATCTATCTATCTATCTATCTATCTATCTATCTATCTATCTATCTATCTATCTATCTATCTATCTATCTATCTATCTATCTATCTATCTATCTATCTATCTATCTATCTATCTATCTATCTATCTATCTATCTATCTATCTATCTATCTATCTATCTATCTATCTATCTATCTATCTATCTATCATCAATTTCTATCTATCGATCCATTAATTCATCCATCCAGGGTTTAGTTATCATGAATGGCCCTCAAAACTGTAATTTTATTACTATTTATAAATTCGCTTTCTTATAAATTTTTAAAAATTTGTCAAATAATTTATTCATAATTTATTTGTAAATAATTTTTTTATTAATTTTTTATTCTTTTTATTCGTTCTTTATTATTTTGTTCATCAATCCATCAATTGATTCAGTCATTATTCTACCTACCTATCTACACGCGCACGAATTCATCTATTTATTTAACTATTCATTCGTTCGTTTGTTCGTTCGTTTGTTCGTTCGTTCGTTTGTTTGTTCATTCGTTCGTTCGTTCATTCATTCATTTATTCATTCATTTAACAATCTATTAATTTTTCCATTTGTCCGTTTATCTATCTAATCAATTGTCCATCCATTCATCTATATATCCATTTATCCATCTATCTATTTATCTATTCAACTATCCATCCATTAATTCATCTTTTTATTTAACTATTTATCCATCCATTCATCCATTTATCCATCTATCCATCCATCTATCTATTCACTTATCCACTCATCTATCCATTCATCTACTCATCAATTACTTTATTGCTGTGTTTCTCTGAGTGCTCATAGAGGCATAAAACATTAATCATTTTTTTCAGTAATTTCGTCTCGTTTTTATTATCTATTTAATTAAATATAGATCTGTCGAACCTTTATTCATTAATTCATGCGCAAACTCCCTCAACCATCCATCCCTTCATTCATCCGTCTATCCATTAATCCATCTATCCATTCATTAATTTTTTTTATTCACTTTTTCATTAGTAATAAATCCATCTACCTCATCCATCCACCCTTCCAATAATCCATTCATCTTTCTATCCACCCAGAATACATCTATACATCCATCCATACAACAATCCATTCATTCATTCATTCTTCAGTCATCCATCCGTCTATCCATTCATTCATTTATCCATCCAGTAGTATTTTCTCATTCATCGGCTATAGTTATTCTTTCGTTCCATTTATTTATTCATTCATTGAAACTTTCATCTAATCGTTCATTCAATCATTCACGCAGATCTGCTTTCATCCAATTTTTCAACTCATCCACGTTGCAAAAACAACAACAACATCAACAACAACAACCGCAACTATTAAAACATCAACAGCAACATCAACAGCAACATCAACATCATCAACAACAACATCATTAACAATAACGTCATCAACAACAACATCAACATCATCATCATCAACAACAACAACAACAACATCATCCACTTATATGTTTATTAATTTTTTGATGTTGTTGATATTGATGTTATTGCTGTTGTTGATGCTATTAATTAAGTTGTTATTGTCACGTATTTTAGTTTTTGTTGTTGTTGTTGTTGCTGTTGTTGTTGTTGTGTGTTTCTTCTATGTGAAGCTATTTTTACGTTGAGGGCTGTTGTTGTTGTTGCTATTGTTATTGATGTTGTTGTTGATTTCACAGTTAATGTTGTTGGGGTAGTTGTAATGTCAGCAAACAACTACTTAACGTCAGCAGTTCCACTGATGCTACTTTGTTTTTCCGTCAATAATATGTCACATGGATTTTAATAATGCGTTTATCAGTGGCGCTGAGTTTGTATTGTCTGATGATGGTGGTTAATAATGATTAATATTTTTCATTGTTTGTTGTTGTTTTGGACGTTTTTGTGTTGTTGTTTTTGTAGCTATTGTTGCCAATGCAGTTGTTGTTATTTCTTATTGTTATTTTTTGTTGTTGTTGTTGCTGCTGTTGTTGTTGTTGATGATATTGTTGTTAATGTGGTTGTTTGATATTTTTGCGATTGTTGTTGTTGTTATATATCTGTTATCGCTGTCCTCTATCTTTCATACATTTGGCTCATCCGTCAATCAATCCTTAAAATTAGGGCTATTTATCAAGTATTACATCATAGGGCTCCTAGTTCCTTAACAATAACAATGCTAATAACAACGACAATAAAAGGAAAAATAATAATAATAATAATTAATATTTTATGTTTGCTATGGTATTTTTTTCTTATTATTTAGTTATAAAGGTGCTTATTGTAAATGTTGTTGCAGTTGTTTTTATTGTTGTTATTGCTACTGGTGCTTATATTTTTAGTTATTATTATAACTAATATTTTATTATTATTTTTGTCTTCATCTTTGTTTATTAATATTTATCTGTGACACTTGGCATTTCATCGCTATAGTGGAATAAATCAACCTCTCCATTAAATTTTGCCACCAGCATCTCTTCATCATCATACATTTTTTAAGGTCAAGGACCTGTTTCCGTCATCGTCATCATCACGTCGTCATCATCTTCATCATTTCAAACTTTTTTGGACATTTTATTCAAAGAAAACCGGAAGTCCAATATGACTCCATCATGGTCGCTTATAATATTGATAACATAGAATGACCATTCCAATGCAAGTTAGCTGTTCAAAGTGTAAGACAATCGTGTGGCATTAAAATAACTGTAAGCAAAGAAGCTATTGCAAAGTCAGTTGTTCACGATTCTTCGATAGATTACAATGTAAATTAATTATTAAAGTTATTAAATTATTCATTAAAAATTATTAAATTATTTATGAAAAATTATTAAATTAATTATGAAAACTTATTAAATCGAATGACAAAACCAGATCGTAATTGTTCTAAAGAATGCCTGAGATTTAAAAAAACAAGACATATATATATATATATATATATATATATATATATATATATATATATATATATATTACATAGATCGATTAATAAGAAACAATTTAAGTTGAAAGAAGTTGAGGGGTTGAGAAGTTGAGTTTATTTATAGCATAGCATCGGTGATACAATCGTCATCGTCATTATTATCACAACTATTTCAACTGTTTCATTATCATTATCGTACTCATCCTCATCGTCATCATCACCATCATCTTCATCCTCACCATCATCTTCATCACTATCACCAACATCAATTTCTTCATCATCATTGTCTTCATCACCATCAACTTCTTCATCATCATCGTCTTCATCATTATCATCACCACCGTCGACAACCTGGTCATCTCATCTCGATCAAATTTTGTGGTGATCAAATTTAGACTCGCATTCACGACGCATTACGATGCTTTACAACGCTTTACAAAGCTTTACAATTCTTTACAATATTTTTACAATCCTTTGCAATATTACAGCAAAATTGCACTGACCGATCTGTCCATTAACATCGTTTCATTACACAAACTTCGATATAAACGTACTTATGTATTTATTAATATAAGATTTTATAGCGGTTATATCGAATGATGGTATGTATGTATTGGGCATGTTGGTATGCAATTATGCATTGTATATTGTGGCGTGCATTGTATGTTTTGGTATGCATTGTATATTGTGGTATGCATTGTATGTTTTGGTATGTATTGTATATTTTTGTAAATATTTGTTTGTATTGTATGTCGGTATGCATGGTATGTAGGTATATATTGTATACTGGTGGGTATTGTATGTTAGTTGGTTAGTCTGCATGGTATGTCGATATATATTGCATTGTATGTAATATTATTATTTATTCGGTTTAATCTTACTGTTAACTAGTTTTTTCAATTTTAAAAAAGCAATTGATTTATGCACAATCGTTAGCACGAACACCACACACACACACACGTGCGCAATCAAACACACACACACATATTTTTTAATTCATTTTTTATCAAACAAATAAAAATGTGTTTACCAAAACTTCAAACATTACTTTTCGATAAAACATTTTAAAAATATAGGACGCAAGAAGTAGTTTGATATCTCAATGAGTAGACTCCCACGGGCTTTGACTTCAGAATACCCTTCTGTCTCTGGTATCAGTTGTATTCTCGCTACGTATTTTTTTATTCCGCTACTTTGAATAACCAATGAATACGTTGTATTGGTCGTATTGATAATTTACACACACACACACACGCACACACATACACACCACGCACACACACATACATGTATTATGTGCGTGTGTGTAATGTGTGTGCCTACAATACAACCACGGTCATCATTATCACAATCACTATAACTGTCATCACAATCATCATCGTTATCATCAACGACGACAACAAAATCATTATCATCATTGATATCATTACGAGCTACTCTTTAAAAAGTATTTAATTTCGATCAGATTATCTGACCGAGCCACTAAAAGCCAATCGCCATATGTTCCATTCTACTACTACCGCTGCTGCAACTACTTGTATTACTGCTACTCTTATTACTACTGCCGCTATTGCCGCTACTACGACTACTACCACTTTTACCCCTGCTACTACTACTACTACTTTTTCCATTACTACCACTACTAATGGTGCAGTCACTGCAGCGGCTTCTCCGCAATTTATACTACTACTACAGTAATTACTGTACTACCACTACTCTTACAACTACTAAAATGTTTGCGGTTACTACGGCAACTACAGATAACATTACTATCGCTACTGTCGCTACTACTTTCACTACTGCTGCTGCTACTACTACTACTACTGGTGTTGCTGCTGTTATTTCTATTGCTGTTACTACTCTGCTGGTCCTTTCACCGATGTGACGTGATGCTGTTGTTGTCGTTACTACAACAGCTTCTGCCACGGTTACTAGTTCTGCTAAAATTTTATTGGTCCAGAAGGACGGCATTAGATATCTTATGGTGTCGAACAAAAATAAAAACTGAAATAATACTTAAAAAATAAAAAAATGAAAAGTATAAAAACTGGCTATAGCAACGTTTTTCTGCTGCTGTCTAAACTAAACTGCCGCTCTGTCGTTACTTCGCAGGCCGCTTTGTGGTTATTATCGTTGCTGCTGTGTATGGATTTTTTTAATATTGGTATTATATTTGTTCAGTGACAGCGTTTTTTTAGAATGTTTTATTAGTTGTGTGGTTGTTATCCGCGAATGATGTTTCAAATTTCTGTAGAGAAATATTTAAGTGTAATACGCCTACTTCAATATTTACGATTTGTTCTTCTGCATTCTTTAAAAATTTTTAATATAGAATTAGTTAGAGCAGACAAAGAGTTGTCATAACCAGTGGTGACGCAATGGTATGAGGTACACTATTAAATCTAAAAACGTAGCCAGCGTGACAACCAACAAAACTGACTTCTTGATTCTAATTTCGTCCTTTCTATCTCTAAATTTGATAAAAACCAAAAAAAAACATAAAAAAAATACTGACATCGCTTACTTGACGATTTGACTGCAAGAACAAAAATATTAAACATTAGGTACTAGCAAATTACAACAACAATACAACATCAACAATAACAACATTAACAACAACAGCACAATCAGCACAGCAACACAAATAACAACATTAACATGAACAACAACATCAACAGTTGCACAAACAACACAACAGCACAAACCACAACACAAATAACAACATCAACACAAAAACATCAACAGTAGCACGAGCGACTCAACAACACAAACATCAACATTTACATCAACAATATCAATAGCAGCACAGACAACACAACAACACAAACAACAACATTAACATCAGCAACAACTCGACCATTCAACTATATAAATTCACGCAATGAAGATGCATGCAGAATCAGCCTGAGACCTGGCTAAAATATTCTTCCTCAAATTTAAAACGACGTGGTTAATCACTCTCTAACTATCACTTCGCTATCACCACCAAACACGCAATCATTACCATCACTACCAACAACACTCAATCATTACCATCACCACGAACAACATTGTCATTACAGCTACTGTCTCTTTCTTACAATTTAACATAATTAATTATGCTAATGCAGTTGTGTAATATATTTTTGGATACAATTTACAAATTTTTAAATAAATAATTTTTTGATTTGTACCAGCACTCCGTTTTAGATCTCCAAGAAGTAAGATATTTATGTGGTGAACCTCTTGTCATCCTCTGCCTTCTCAAATACTTCATGACATAACACCACTTATATTGTTGACGATGACAAATTTTTAACCCCTGATATGAATAAACCGCGCGCGTGTGCGTGCGTGTGTGTTTGTGTGTGTTTGTGTGTGTGTGTGTGTGTGTGTGTGTGTGTGTGTGTGTGTGTGTGTGTGTGTGTCATACATACTGAACATATACGTTTCAAGCATATACGGATACGAGGGCATATCACTACCCACCAGAGTATGCCCATGTTTATGAGTCATTTTTTCGCATTTTTGCCTGGTTAAGACAAAACGCAAGTAGGCTAGTGCTTTGTGTGCTTGGTTATGTGTTTATCCTTTTTAAAGTATGTCGTGTTCTATTTATAAAGCACATAAACACATGTGCCGTACAAGTGAATACATCCTTTTTACACATGTGTATGTACCGTACGTGTACAGACACACGTAGAAACATTACAGGCATGTGTTGTGTGGTGGTTATTGTTATGTGAAACAAACGTCGTATTTGTGCGTGCATTTGAGTGTTCGTGCGTGCTTACGTGTTCGTGAGTACGCTTTCCAAGTTTGTACGTTGCAAGACGTATGACTTGCAGAAGACAGGATGGAATGATTAAGTCAGCTTTGAATTTTTGTCGTGTTATGTGATTATTACATGCAGGCTGTGTAGGTTCCGTCTCGTCTTCTTGTTCCTAGCGCTATTATCCTAATGTTGTGACAAACATAGATTGAGTTACACATGTTGATTTATGCAAGTAGTTTAATTAGTTTCATACTGGATGTAACAGATAGACCGACTGTCATCAGCTTCCTCTGATTCAACCATTTAATCATTAGGAAGGTTTTAATCAGTTGATAGCTCGTAAAAAGTATCTTCAATTAAATTTTAAACTTTAAATTCTACTTTAAAGAGTCGTTAGATTGATTGAACAAAATAATTTTTAAAGTAAATAAGACATTTATTCCTTCTCTTGGCCAATGTTAATTAATGTATATATTCTATATATGCTGACAACTGATTAGTTTTAAAAATTTAAAGGCATTGACGCGTAATTAAGCTTCTTTCCATGGATATATATCCATGCTTCTTTCCTACTAGCTTTTTAGTATTCTATGGTACTCTGTAAACAAGTAACTTTTAAAATTTAGTTTCTCTAAAAATGGATTTCGTTAGCGGTTAAGGAGGATTTGCGGGAAAAATTAATTTATTTTGGATTAATTTGTGATTAAAGATGACTCGATCTGGCAGGAAAATAATTAAGGATATGAATGATCTGATTACATGTTCCTTGTGCTCTGGCTACTTAGTGGATGCAACCACCATCACCCATTGTATGCATACATGTTAGAGTTGGCTGCTTTATTTCAAATTTTACTTCTTGTCTGGTTTAGTTAGTTACGGTTAATTCTGTAGGTTTTGCTGTGCCGGTCTGGGTTTCATTTTATGTTTTTACATGATACATGAAGCAACAATAGTTAAAAATATTAAAAATGGCAAGAAATGTAAAATAGATATATAAAATAAATAAATAACTGCTGTGTCAACAACCTGAGTTCTTTTCATCAGTGTATGTATCTGAGTCATTTAGCTTTCTTTATTTTATATTTTGGTTCATTTACTTTTTTTCAAACCATCCAATCTCTAAAATAAATGTAGCTAGATAATCTTCAAAAACTCTCCTTTAAGCTAATTATTAATCAACCTTTAACCTAGTTGCATCCTTTATTTGTAAGGTCAGTCTTGAACACAACAGTGCTGAAGATGTATTGTATGTTCTTTGGCATCTCAATAATTTCCATGATTATTTCATTTTTTCAAGGGCCTTGTGCTTGTCATTCATTTTATTTAAAGAATAATAAAGAAAATATTTACTCCAAAAGATAAATTAAAAAATTTTGGTTTAGCCAATTTGAATAGACTTCATCATTGAAATAATAAAATTTATACAAATATAATTTGCTAAAACTATACCATAGACCTGGCCTTAGATGTGGAAGTCAGATTTTCAATAATTAGTTTCTTTGTATTTTGTATGCTAGATTTGAGAAAGAAATCAGTGTTGTGTATCTTGAAATTTTAATTTTGTATATTTTGATATATTTTTAAAAATTTTGTTTTAATATAAGTAATTTATGATTATTAACTCTGGCATTTTCAGTTTGTCGATCGTGCATCTTCAAGGAGTACTCAGGTTGCCCGAAATGTCTCAAGAGAACAGCGGCATCATCAAATAGTGATGCCAAAAAAAACAACTACACAACAACTACCAGTAAGAAAATAAAATTAAGGTAACATTCCTGACTTTTTATTTAAACATATTAAATCCTATAAATAAAAGATGCAATATTATTTGTTAAGATTTTTATGTTTTTTTGAATTTATTCAATAAAATAAAATGCAGATCAGACAAAACGATGCAGAACCTCGTCTACAAAATGGTCCCCGGTCTTTACCAAAATGAACTGAACAGGAGAATCAACTTTGCAAAACTTCATCCAAACTGGGGTATATAATGGCAAATTGTGTTTCAAATTAATTATTAATAAATTAATTGTACTTACAAATTTGGAAAATATTAGTAAAGTTTCATCGCCACAATTAAGTCGACATTTAAAATTTTCAGAATTTAATTCTTATTTTGGATTTTTTTTGGATACTCACATGTATGCTTAAGATTATTAACATACCAGCAGAAGATGAAACACTAAAAGACAGTGACACCATGTTGAAGAAGGCTGATGATTTCATTTATATATTCAGCCCAAGTGATGTCTTCAGCCTCTGCTTAAAGAGACAGACATGGTGCCATATTTTTTTTTTATTTATATTATTTTATTTTTTTTTCACTTTATTTCATTTTATTAAGAGTAATCATATCAGTTTTAACATTGGGCCTCAATGGAGTAATATTATTCATCAGCTGTATTTCAGTAAAGTAATGTTGTTGCCACCAGAAACTTTCATGGTCGATAACTAAATAATAGTTAAATAAAAATAAATAATAAATAAATAAAAATAATAAAATAAATAATAATTTTAATTGAAATATATATAGCTACCCAGTGAATAGCAAAAAGAGTGTTGCTGATATTGAGACATTCTTAAACTGCCTGGCAACTGCAAGTGTGGCCGTTATAAAAAAGTTCCTAATTTTCAAACTGGGTTTAACCTCTGAATGGCAGGTAGGGATAGATATACACACATACCTTTCATTATTTTGATTATTTTATTACTTTAAATTTTCTCACAATCCCACTTCAATTTGTGGTGTGTAGTATATGCAACTGCATGTTGTTAACCATTTGTTTGCCATACTAATTGCGTTGTCATCATTATAATTGTTTGTTCATCATTATAATTGTTTGTTTGTCATAATAATTGTTCGTTCATCATATCAAATAATTATTTGTTTATCTTCTCAAATGTTTATCACCAGATTATTTTCTTCAGTGCCAGCGAGTGCTTATTTGAGACGTTGACCTTGCTGGACGTGGCCTACATCAAGCAATGGGACAGGGTGGGTTTCTAATTTATTCTCTCTTTTATAGATTCAGTTAGTTTTGGTTCATCATTGCAATATGAACCATCTTACTCAATAAGGACAATCAATTCATGTTTCTCAACCACCAATCACAAGGCCTCTCCGCTCATCCTCGACTACTACCTCATCAACCCACTCTACAAAGGCATCCAACTGTCGTACAACAACGATTATGTCTACAACAGCAACTGCTCTAAGAGAAAAGAGAATGCATCGTCGAGGAAATGTTCTCAAACTTCTTTTCGTACATGTTCCCTGGGGTCCAGAGTTGAGCAGCAACAATTTCAGCAACAGCCACAACAGAGTGAGCAACATCTACGTGAACAACAACCAAATCATCATGAGTGCCAACAACGACAACAACAACATATTCAACAACCGCAGTATGAACAAACTCAGAACAACACGAATTTTGATGCATCTAGTAGCAGTATGGCTTCCATTGAAACGTCAACAAACACCTCAAACAGTTTCAAAACGACAACAACTTCTTGTTTACCATCTTCATCGTCACATGCTGCTGCAACAACATCACCACAAGCAACAATAACAACAACATCGCCACAAACGACAACAACAACTTCCTCACCATCTCATTCCAATCTAAAAATCAGACTAACAAAATCGCAAATCAATGGATCATTTGTTAAGTTCACCCAGGCCGAAAATACTGCGAATTCAAATTTAATTTTTAATGATAGTTACAACAACAACAACAATAATAGCTATAGTTGCACTCCAAGAAAAAAACTGAGACTGCAAAATTACAGCGACAACAGCATGAAGAACGAGAAGAACAATGAACGAGCCTCTGTTGGAGATGGTGGAGATGTCTGTGATGAAGCTGGGATAGTTGCTAACAAAACCGACAACAGGAGTAGTTGTGCTGGTAATCAGGGGAATGGAACTTCCAGCAACAATGTCGGATTGGATAGTTCTTCACACATCTTTACTGACAATAATGCAAGCGCAACCATTCTGGTCACAGATAAAATTAACAGCAGCAAAAACAGTAACATTAATGTCAGCAATAGCAACAACAACACAAACATCAATGACATTATTAATGTTGGTAGCATGAATTACATGAATAATAATTTACTGAACTCAACAGACGATCTACAGGCATATCTTGCCAGTCTCTCAGCCCACATCACTAACAACAACGTTTTCGATGCAAATTCCAAATATATCCACAATAATATCAACAATCACGTCAACAATTACAACAACAATTGCAGCAACAATCGCAGTAACAATCACAGCAACGTTGATGATGTTGAAAGCAATGATAAGAATGATGATGATAATATATGTCAACCAGCAACAAACAAGGTCAACAAGTTAAGAAGCAGAAGGAAAAAAAATTCTATTATAAACAACGATGACAGCAGCAACAATAATAATAATGTTATAAGCAGCACTTTCAGCAACAACACTGATACAAATAGCAGCAACATCAACAACACAAACGACATCAACACCACCAACAACAACAACAGTGAAAACAGTACAGATACAAACAACAAAAGCAACAAAAAAACTAACAACAGAAAAACCAACAACAGTAGAAACATTAAGACCGACAACAATGAAGCTGCTGGCAAAGTTAGAAAATCAAAGAAGCGAAACAGCTATGGTCAGCTGTCCATCTATTCACTACTCAACAAAAAGTTTGCGCCCAGCCTTTCCATCAAGAAGGAACCATTCGAAGGTGACTGACTCCTTCTTCTAACTTGTGTCCACAAAATTTCTACATTCCTCTATTGTTCTATTCTTCTGTACTACTATTAATAATAAAAGTAATAATATAACTATTATTTTTTATGTTATTAAGTTAAAAGTTGTTGAACAAACTAGCAACACATTCATCTACTTATATTACTTCCATTAAAATATCTATGAGAGAAATTATATTTTGTTAATTATTGGTGGAGCATATGTCCCTGTACAATATTTTGGGTGACTGTACCTCTAATGCGATGTCATTTATGTGGCATGGTGTGATGAATTTAGCTTATTTTCATTTAAATAGTGAATAACAATGGAGATGAGAGCAACAACGAGCCAGCTGACGCACAAAACACCAGTCTTCTGACTTTCAGAGAGGAGGAGGAAGTTACAACAACAACAACGTTGCAACATCAACAACAGCAACTAATTCAACATCAACAACAACAACCAATTCGACAAAAACAACAACATGATCAACATCAACAACAGCAAGATTCTCGATGCTCTGCCGATAGCAACGACATTCATAACGGTACAAACAACACTGACGTCATCAACAACATAGAAAGCCAAGTTCATAATAACATTAGCACGGATAGTTTTACTAAAAATTCCAATGTTCCATCGTGTCCTTCGAACATTGTTACTGCCCCATCACAAAATTTAATTGCATGCAATCTGGTCGACTACAGCATCAACACGAATGCTAGCAACATCAACAATAGTGCTGGCAACATCAACCAGAGTGTAAGCTGCTTCAACACAACTGCTGACAACTTCAGAACAATAGTTGGCGACGAAAACAGTAGTGCTATTGTTGGCAACAACTTGTCTCGAGTTGATAAACCTTCTCAACAATCCAATTCAATGTTACCTGGCCAAATAGATCCATCCCTCTCATCTCTACCTTTCCAGTTCTTCTTTCAACCATTCTCTGCTGATCCTAATATTATTCCTCAAAATGCGAATTTGTCACAATTGTTGCAGCAACTACAACATCAATTACAACAACAACTACAACATTTGCAGCAGCAACAGCAAAAATCGGAACAGCAACAACAATTGCAACAGCAGCAACAATTGCCACAACAACAGCAACAATTGCAGCAACATGGTCGGTTCATTTTTTCCCCTTCCAATTCCATTTTCACTTTTCCGCCAAATGAACTATTAAACTCGTCTACACAGAATTTAAATAGCATCAACGATATCAGTGACAACAACAACACTATCAGCTATGACTCTAACGTCAACATTTGCAACATCAACAACAACAGTTATATCAATACATACTTGCAAAACAACAATCTTAGTGTTACTCACATTAATCTCAACAACAGTAACAACAGCAATGAGAACATCAACAGCAGCCAACACAATAACATCAGCACCAGCCGCAATAACAACAACAGTTTCAATAGCATCAACAACAACGACAACAGTTTCAACAGTAACAACAACATTAACACTAACCTCAACAACAGTGTCAACAACAGCATCATCAACAATGGTCTCAACCATACTGTTGACAGCCACAACAGGTTTGTTTAAGTGTTATTTTGAAATTAATTAAGTTAATTTTGTTAATTTTTCATCATTCAACAACTGTCTGCATGCTCTTTGCATGTAACGTTACTCACAGAATTCACAAAAGTATAATTTGTGTTATTAGTTCACTCTGTATTTTAAAATATTGTTATTTCATTTAATTAACATTGCTCAATTAACTATTTCATTAACTATATATTAATTAATTAATTAATTAATTAGTAAGCGTAATAATCTCAACATTATTGATCACAGCAGAAACAACATCAACAACAACAACTTCAACAACAGCATCAGCAACAACTTCAACAACAGCAGCAGCATCAACAACAACAACTTCAACAACAACTTCAACAACAACTTCAACAACAACTTCAACAACAGCATCAACAACAACATCAACACATCGAGGGTTTTTTCACCATTGTTTGCAGCTGACGATGATGAAGATGACGATGATGAGGAGGATGATGATGATAGAGTAAGAAACTCAAAACCTTTCATTCCCCGTTCAGCGTTCGAACATGATGACGTCAACCAACCAACATCTAACACAACTCAGCTGGCAGCTACACTAAACAATAGCAGCAGCTGTAGCAGCAGCATAAGCAGCATTTACAACAGCAATTTAAATAATGGCGCCCATAACAACAAAAAAAACAACAGCTACAACAACAACAGCGTTCTGAGTTTGAACTATAGCAACAGCTTTATGAATAACAACTGTTGCAACACTGACAACGATAACGACGACAACAAAAACAGCAGGACCGCTTGTGGCGACGACAACGATGATTCATCTGTGAATGGTTCCTTTAACAGTGAGGGTACAGAATTGGTTGTTGATGGTTCCATGTAAAGTCCGTACGTGCGTGTCTGTCTGTCTGTGTGTGTATGTGTGTGCTTGTGTGTTCGAACTTATCTACTAACTGTTCATATACTTGCCATTTATATATATATATAATATATATATCGGTGTTGTGTATGTGTTTGTACATACCTATATGTGTGCTTGTATGCGTTCATTTTCAAACATGTGTGCTGGTAAGTGTGTGTAAGATGAAAATTGTGTAACTTTGAATCTATATAATTTGTCCAATTTTTTTTTATTACTGTCATCATTGTTTTTTGTTATTATTATTTTTTCATCTTTAGAAGTCCTGACAGTTCTTGTTATTCTAGTTCATAGCCATTAATTTCAGTATTTTTATATTAAATTAAAATTTAACAATGAAATTTAAAAAAATTTTCCAGATAATTTTTGTCGAAATAATTATTCAATTTTATTTAATTTATCTTTGTTACTTCCTCTCTTTATCTCTCTCTTTCTCTCTCTTTCCCTCTCTCTCTCTCTCTCTCTCTCTCTCTCTATATATATATATATATATATATATATATATATATATGCATATAAATATTATAAATTTATGCTTATCATATCAAAAATTATGTGTATCTTATGCAAAGTTTAATTTCATTTTTTTGTATGATGAAAAGGAATGGATTGATCTTTCTTCTCTCTCTCCTCTCTTTCTATTTATTTTTCTTTCTCTCATTCTCTTTCTCTGTCTCCATATGTCTTTCGTTTTCTTTACCTACTTACTTGCTTTCATACCTATTTTTATAAATCTACATTTTCTGGAATAAAAAAATCATTGTTGTTGTTGGATTAGATCTTTTTTACTTCTTTTTCTAGTACTGCACTGAAATAGTTTTAATGAGTTTTTAAATGTTTCCTCTCTCTTCTCTTCCTCCCCTCTCTTTTTCTCTCTTTCATATTCTTATATTGATATTTTGATTGTATGCGCGTGTTTTTGTATAGTTTGTAGCTAGCTTTTAATCATGAGTTTACTCTATATATATATATATATATATGTGTGTGTGTGTGTGTGTGTGTGTGTGTGTGTGTGTGTGTGTGTGTGTGTGTGTGTGTGTGTGTGTGTGTGTGTATGTGTGTGTAGGAAGGAGACCATATTTTATACAGTTATGTATGAATTCTACCGAATTGTTGGCATTAATCAATTTAAAGTTTGTCTTTTCAATTTTTCTTACTAGAATTTTTTGGAAATTGTTTAATTAATTTACTCATAAATATACTTCAAGGCTTAAATTTCATAAAAAGTTGACAAATCTAATTAGAACGAATAGTAATGAATAAACGGATCGGTTTATTAATCTCAGTAAACACTGATAAACAAAAAGAATTTTTAAATTTAGGATTAAACGGTCATATTTTACAGAAACCGAATATTGAAAAAACAATTGAAATTGAAAAACTGATGGTGCAAATAAACAAGACAGAACGACAAACCAAGATTAAAAGGAATTCGAAATCGCGGTTGAGCTGCAAGCTGAAGCCAAGAAACCAAGAGGCAGTTTTTAAAGCAAACTTCTAGCAAATGATCTTAGAACTGCTGCAAAGGAATTGAAAGAAAATGAAAAAATTATCATTCGCCGTACAGTCAAGTCCAATCAATTTGCATGATGAATTTGGATAACAACTGTTTTATCAAATTTTCATGATGAACTTGGATAATAATTCTATTTTCCATAACTTGAACAATTTCCAGAAAATTCTAGTAAGGAAAATTGAAAATACAAACCATAAATTGATTAATGCCAACAATTCGGTAGATTTCATACAAATCTATCTATATATGCATCTATATATTATATTTACAGTGTTGTATTTTATACAATGCTATATAAAATATGGTCTCTTTCAAACATATATATATATTATAGGCGAATATATATATATATGTATATATATATATATACATATATATATATATATATATTGGATTAAGACTGTCAGAAATGTTGTTATTAATGAAAATCACGGCCTGTTTAATTTTTCTAACGGTAGAAGTCAATAACAACCATTAGAATTTACGACTAGCCGAATCAATACTCATAGGACCAAGACATCCGATAGTAAATATTCAACAACGCGCAATTGGAATCCTTCCCACTAATAAATTTATAAACAGGGGAATCATCGAAAATGACGACAAGTAAAAGGGTCATACTGCACAAAGTTGAAGATCGTAATAATATATAATAGCATGAGCATTTGGTCACATACACAACTTATCAGTTCGAACACCGATGATGGGTAGACATAGAGGAGTGCCGAAAAAAACTTTTTTGTTCTATCGTGTTAAAATGTTCTTTCATGCTTAAAATAAAAAAAAATTTTGGTTTTGAACTCAAGAAACTTGACAATGATTAACGATCTACCGTTAGAAAAATCGACAAATTAAACAGGAAGCTAACCAACGCGGAACATGCTGTGATTTTCATCGAGGATTGCATATTTATATATATGTATGTACGAATAAACAAATTTGTTTCAATTAAGAAGGGTAAAACTTTTTTGAATTTTTTCTTTATATTTTTGTTGTAAATTATAAATTGTGTAACATATAATCTCACACACATATATGTAAATATGTGTATGTATGTATATACATAAAGTTGTGTGATTAATATATATATATATGTGTGTGTGTGTGTGTGTGTGTGTGTGTGTGTGTGTGTGTGTGTGTGAATGTGTGTGTGTGTGTGTGTGTACAATTTTACTTACAATAACTTCACAACAATCTTATCGTTAAACCTTAATGGCCATGATCATCATTATATCATTATCACATCGCGTCACAATCTGAATAATAACATCATTTATAAGTTATCATCGATTCTATCCATTTTATCATTTTTTACACGATATGGAGTTGTCAACGATCAGCTGTTATATTCATTTTATCTCATCTTATGCTATCCAGTTACATTAATTTTATCTATTATCTTATCTATTTGCATTGATTTTGCTTGAAGTAGTGCCATGTGCATATTTACTGGAGAAGCACCGAATATTTGCCCGAAATTTGATTTTCGGCTGAGGCTTCTGACATTTCTAAAAGACGAATAGTGCAACTTTCGTTCAAGCCATCGATGTTTTTGGATTTTATTTAGAACAATAGTTGTTGGCTCATCATTAGTAGGAATTTATTTTGACCATCATTACTATTAAAAAATCTGAATTTGACCAAGAGATGAAATATCATTTCAATATAAAATCGTTGGATAGACATGATTTGCCTACCTGCTCAGTTTTTCACTAGCTTGTGTTTTTTATTCTAAGAAAATGAATTTTATTTTTTTAATTTCGGCTGGATTTACTATTTGACCCTCCGCCTAATTTGTTATTATTTTTAATTTATTGAATTTATTAAAGAGATATTTTTTCATTAATTTATAAAATTAATTTCTATCCTTTTTTTTCTTCAAGTTTTTGGACGTGATTGTTTCTATAAATAAATTTTAAAAAGTAGAATAGTTTAGGTGTTATGTATGGCATACCTACGCTCACCTTACATCACATTGATTATAAAGTACAGATACACTTAACATCAATATATACGCATACAAACAAACACATGTAGAACCTGTACTTGCGTACATGCTCACGTACATAAGTACATACATACCCACACATGCACAGACAGAAAGACGTACATGCACACACAGACATACAGACAGACAAGCAATTTAATGTTTTAAACAATTTTTGAACACAAAAATAAAAAATGCAAGATGGATGGAATAACCACACGCAAATCATTGGACATAGCCATATATATATATATATAGAATATAACACCATTATATGATTACATGCTATTATTATTTTATATTCCATATATATGGACATAGCCTACTTAATGAAATGATTCGAAATGAAATTTTTTTTGCTCTTCAAAATTTAGAAATAATAAGAAGGTAGGCTGACCATAGTGAAGTTCGTAAAAGAACTCATCTAGTATTGCCGCCTAAACAGAGATCAAAAATATTGTTTTCAGTTTTCAACATAAATAGTCGGAAATATTATGGCTGATAAGCAATTCACGGACGTGTCAGTTGTCAGTATCGTTAGTTAGCAAACGACTTAACCATGCTAGTAAAATTAGGTTAGAAAGAATGAAGTTTTGTTTAGTTTCATGAACTATTTCGCGAGAATCGTTAGAAGATTGAACTGATGACACAATTTTTTGTGTTTGTGGATTTTTGTGTTTTTATTACCATGCAGTCGCTTGCATCGGCGCTTTGTTATTATTATCAACGAAATAGTTGAATTAAACTTTTATATAAGACAGTATGGAGTTACGTAGAGTTGCGCATTTCTGGCTGAGCTTTTTCATATTCACAATTTATCTTGCATATGTTGCTCGAATTATTCTTCGGTGACTCGCTCACTCAATCATTTATTTCTTATTCGGTGGATGTGGGGGTGTTATAGCTTTGTGGACATTTGCCATCTTTTTTTCTCCCTTATGAACGGCTGCCTTGGCGTAACGAATAAGCTTTCTTCAGTTTTTATTTCTTTTATTTCTTGATTCTTGTTATTTTTGATGATTCATATTATTATATGTATGAAGTAATTCATTTATCGTTTGCATTAAATTTAAAAATTATTATTAATTAATAAATGAATGAATGAACGAGCGAATGAATGAATGAACGAGCGAATGAATGAACGAGCGAATGAATGAACGAGTGAATGAATGGATTAATGGATAAAGGAATGAATGAATGAATGAATAAATGAACCATTTGTGTAGCATTCAACGGGTTTGTACCTGTGATGAGCGAGTGGAAGAAAGTCAAAAACAACTTGCACCGAGTGTATTTATTAAAATAATAAATAGAATAATTATCATAAGTATTTATCTTTATTATTATTATCATTCTAGTGTTTTTTAATACAAAAAATATGTTTTAATTTCAGATTTGTAATTTCAAAATTAAAAACAATTTGTCATTAAAGTTATATATATATATATATATATATATATT